GAGAAAAATCATGTGAGCCAAATAGAAGACTGTCTTTAAGCTTAGTTTTTATGAGAAATCAGACTTTACGCTTTCTCTCTCTCTCTCTCCCTCTCTTTGCAGAATGACCGTATATACATCTGCATTGTGGCTATTCACCTCTACTGAAACACATATTTATATGCTTCGCCATTACTATTGTTTATAAATATATTTTTTTTGTTGATATTTTCTTCAAATTCATCTTGCTAAATTGGAACGTTTGCATAATTAATATTAAAGTTGGTTGCTTTTTAATATCTGCCGCAGGCCTCTACACATTCATGAATATTTTTTATAGAATTTGATATTTTTTTGGTAATAATGCAATTGATTATAACCGTTCAGCTTCTAGGCGAACCAGTAACAAACAGGTGTGCCTGAAACAGCGTCGAGCTTTGAGCAGATACTAATTAGCGTTATAATCGTGATCTACCTGAACGGCGACTCGCTGTTTACCAACATTTGGCACAAGACACAATTTAAATATTTAACACATTGAAAGTTGAAATTATCGACCACAAAAGCTTTAATGAAGATATGAATACTTATAAATTCGTAAATTTGTATGTAAAGGGTGATTTTTTAGTTATTATCTTTTTAGCAACACTGGTTTAAACAACTTCAGTTTAGTTTATAGTTTAACCAAATTATTGAATTTTATTATCCAAACGTGAGCTCTGTTAGGAAAATTTATCGCGCGCTTCTTCCATTCCACTGAAGACCCACTGAAGCGGTGCGTAAATAAGCGGAATTGTCGATTTTGGAATGAAGATCAGCCAGACACATTGCAAGTGCTACCAATGTATACAGAAAAAGTCAGAGTTTGGTGCGATTTATAAGCTGTTGGCATCATTGGGCCGTACTTCTTCAAAAATGATGCGACTCGTATCCTAACTGTGAATGGTGAGCGCTACCGTGAGCTGATATCAAACTCTTCTTTTGCCAGAAATGCAAGAGCTTGATTTGCAAGACATGTGGTTACAACAAGACGGTGCCACATGCCACACAGCACTCATAACCATGGACTTATTGAGAGGCGAGTTCGGTGAACATTTTATTTTACTGTCGGGACCGGTCGTGCGATTTAATGCCTTTAGACCATTTTTTGTGGAGCTATGTTAAATGTAATATCTATACAGACAATGCCGCCTCATTGACGGACAACATTGAAGCATTCATTCGTGAGATACCGACCGAAATGTTGGAGAGAGTAGATCAAAATTGGACTTAGCGGATAGACCATTTGAGACGCAGTCGCGGTCGATATTTGCATGGAATTATCTTCAAACATTAAATTATATAGACCGTACTATCGATTTATATAAAGATTTCATGCATTTTTCCAAAAGTTTATATGTTTTTTTTTTTTTTTAAACTTTCCTATAGTTCTTAAAAAATCACCCTTTAGTTGTTGTATACTAATTACCATAGCGGGCGCTTTTATATTCGTTTTGCTGTCAATAGATAAAAATTTACACATAAATCTTATTTATTTCGTTCTTATGAGGGCTGCCTATTATATTTCGGGATTAGAGAACAAAAGCAAATATTAATCACGGAAAATCGCTTTACTGTTTTTTGAAATAATCCCCATTAAGAACTATGGCGTACAGCTTCACGCGCGTTTGGACTAATTCTCGAAGCACTTTTGCTCCTCTGAACTCCAAAACTTGGGTTCTGAAAGCATCAACCGCCTCTGCAGGTGTCGAAAAACGTTGACTCCTAAGTTTATTTTCTATGTACGGCAATATGAAGAAGTTATTCGGTCCCAAATCAGGACTGTACGGTGGATAACTCATCAATTCGTCGTTTTTAATATTCAAAAATTGGTTTGTTTCAGTTGATCTGTGAGAGAACGCATTGCCGTTGGGATGAGTGATCTGAAAGTTTTTTTTTTTAATTTCTTGAAAGACAGTTGGTAAACAAATCGTTGTGTGCTCAGAGTTTGCTGTTCCTCATTGATCTAGTGGTACAGTTGCGATATATTCAGTTCTTCCAAAAAAAAAAAAAACAGGCAACCATATATTTAGAAGTGTTTAGTGGGCGAACAACTTTTGATGGAGTCAGCTCGTCATTAAGCACCCATACAGACGACTGTTGTAAAGTTTCGGGCACAGAGACGTATCCACGATTCATCACCAGCCATATACGTTTTTTAAGCACTGTTATCGTGCTTTGACTCTTGACCAATCGACGCCAACTTTCTTTGTGTAGACTTTCGAAGTCAAGCATTCAAACTCTGAAAGACTCCCAGTTTTTCGTTACGCGATAATTACATCTACAACCTGTGAATTCCTCGGCTGCCTCTTCACCAGCAGCACGATAGAGCAACCGCTTTAGCTCGGTATGAAAGTTGATAGCGTAAAAACTCCGACACAACAACAAAAAAACAACCCGAATTTACTGTGAGCCAATTTCTACATCCGGCACACCTTCACTCTGCATACAATTACAATTGCCACAAAGACTTAGACGACAGCATCTGGGGAAAACCAACGAAAAGTTGCTGGCAATATATAAGGCAATTTACTGACCGATCGTAAACTATACTGCTCCGATCTGAACGCCGGGAACCTGTGAGGGGCAAATGAAGAAGCTCCTGCCAAAACATTGCCTCCTGGACGTGATAGGAAACCTCCTGATGTCAAACAGAGCATCGCTTGTACAGCGAAGCAACTATGCTACGAAAGGAGTATATCACTAAGGAACAGCTGGTAAAGACGTCTTACCGGCAGGTCTTGAATATAATTCACCGAGAGAAGATTAACAACTTCTTGAACTCTCTCTCAGGGAATGTCGTTGCAGAGCTCGAGTAGCCTCGAGAATCCGTTGTAATACTGGCACAATTAAGATCTAGATAACGTAGTCGACCCACCGCAGACAGCGATAGACGAGTGCTTAGCAATGCGTACTGCGATTTGGAAGGCTATGTATGGTTCGCGTCCTGGTTTGACCAACATCAAAAAGCTTAAAAAAAATTTACGTTAATTTTTCCTCGACAGGGAATGTCAACCCTTCCTGGTATATTTCTGACAAGATGTAATGCTTCTCATTAAAAAAACCATCAACCGTTTGGAGGCGGCGGTAGGAGGAGCTCGTTTGAAAAACGCGGTTATATTTAGAAAATTCCTATCCAGAACTCAACCCGACGTATGTCCCGCATGCAATGAGATTCCGCACGACACTAACCACCAATTTGCTTGCCCCTTGAAATCTAATTATCTAATCCTCTTTTCCATTTGGTCTGAACCCGTTGAAACACCTTGCTTCCTGGACCATCCGTTGGATGACCTCGTTGCCCTTAAGCGAGGTTAGACTAGCCGGTACAACAACAACAACAGCCTCAGCTATATGCTGGTCCAACTAATGCCAATCTCACGACACGTAAGAATATTGATTAGCGCACAGGAACAGCAACTTCAGGAAATTCGCCTTGAGCTGAGGTCTCTCGAAATGTTCTGATTTATCAACTATTTGGCTTGGGTTTTCATTCCACTTTCTTGAAGTGGATAACATCTATTACATACCATCTAATCGATTCCGTGGGGTTGCTTTCGATAAGTCTTTTCCCGACCTTTTGTACCAAAAAAGGATGTCCCTCATGGCATATTTATTATAATAAAAAATCTAAATGATTCTTTTCGACTTCAAGGGAAACGGGATAAATTACAATTTTGGTACAATCGCAATCTTCGGTTACTGATATTAGCGATACAAGTGTCTATTTCGATACGGAACTCAGTTTCTTTATTCATATTAATGATATTGTTTCAAAATATTTTATAATGTAACCTTTTTTTCGACGTAATAGCTTCGGTTTAAGAGTTAAAGAATCTTTAGGTTACTCTTATAAGAACAATAGCAACTCTTTCATCTGGAGACCCTACCATTCTTCTTATATAACGCTCATAGACGGAGTACCACATTAAACCTTTGCTTCTTCGCTTCCATTTTTGTGCCCAATATTGTATAAGAATCAGCGGCCGCAATAGCTCAGTGGCTGCCAGTGCATACTGCCATACGGCAGCCAAGTGCTCGGGTCCGATCGAAAGCTATGGAAAATTATCTAGAATCAATTTGGAAGTCTTAGACGTGCAAAACTTTTTAAATTATTCCTTTTCTTCTTGCTTGTTTGGCGATTTAACAACAGCGCGCCATTCCCTTCGCCTTCCTTTCGCTGTACTTTCAACAAAGTGTAGGTCTTGTTCTTCCTTAGCTTCAACTAACCACTCACATGGCCGTAAATACTTCAATTTGTGCTGGGCTCATTCTCAGGTTAAAAAAGAAACTTGACGCATTTGTGGCTCCAAGAATTCTTAAATACTTGAATGATAATTAATTAAGCCCAAAAAGAAACTTAATGTCTGGAGTTGTAATTGAACCTTACTTCTTTGAAAACGACAACTTTGAGGCCGTCACATTCAAATTCGGCACCTTGTGGGCTTCCGAAATCCCGTTTTCCGGCCTGCAATTGAAGAACACGACTTGAACATCGTTGGATTTGACGCTCTTGAATTTTTTTTGCCGGGTTATGCAAAAGACTGTGTTTATGCGGCGAAACATTTAACTCTTGAGCCCTTGAAAATCAACATTCGTCATGAAATGGCTGAGATACCACCCCATATGTGCCAAAAACTGGTCGAAAATTACCTCAAACTGGCCGAAATTTCTAAAAAAAAAATCGAGAGGCGGACATTCATGCCAAGGTTCAAGCTCTATAATAAAAATAAAAAGAATTTCATCGTAAAATGATTTTAAATCCATTTTATTTACTTTGATTTCCATTTACAAAGGGGAATTTATTTTATTTCAATTTCCATTATTTGCCGTATGTAAGAGAGTGTCCAAACCCACATGACATTGCCCATTCAACATTTAATTATTGAATTATGACTTAAATTTAATATGAACATAAAACATGGATTTTGTTTGGAATTTTCAAAAATATCTGAATTTCCCCATTATTTCATATTTCGTAGACGCATCCTCATCCAACGAAGCTGTGCATCTACAACAACGACTCAAGAGTCTCAGCACGGAATTAGTCACTCTGCGCAATCGACTGCATGTTGGTCAGGGGCAGCAAAATAATAATAATAACAACAACAACAATATTAATAACAATAATAATGCTAACAATCACAACAACAGCAATAACAATAGCAATAATAACACGATCAATTGCAATGTGACAACGATTGGCAGCGTACAACAGCAACAACAACAACAACATCAACAGCAACATGGCAACAATTCAACGCCATTAACAGGTCTCAATTTACATGCATCCACACCGAATCTGCACAACAACACTGCCCTGCTGCATCATAGCAATAATAGTTTGGCAGCAGCAGCAGCCGCCGCCACAACAACAACAACAACAACAACCGCAATAGCAACAAATTGTAGTATTAATAACACCACATTGCAACAACATCAACAGCAACAACAATTACAATTATCACACTCTACGCTAATTCCCACACTAAGCAATAATAATAATAATAACAACAACAACAACAACAACGCCATTAACAAAGCTAATACCGGTAATAATAATAGCAACAACAACCATATTAGTAATAATAATCACACCAACAATGCAGCGTTGACGTCATGCAATAGCACAAACAACACCAATAGCACATTCACGCACATCAACAGCAACAGCAACAATAGCAACAACAAGGTGAGTAACACTCGTAATCGCCAGCGTTGACACGGCAATTTGCTGCTTATAGCAAATTACTATATAATTACATTCAATTACATTACATATGCGCATACATACATACATACATACATACATACATACTGAATATAATTTCTTGTTTTGCCATTTCTTTGTGGCATTAGTCACATTTGCACACCTTTAGCCATCACACATTGCCGCATAACTCGACGATTTCCGCTGGCAACACATCCACATTGCCCGCAGGCGGTGCTGTTGGCATCATTTCCACACGCAACACTTCCATACCACACCCATTACCGGCGTCTATACAACAGCAACAGCAGCAGCAGCAGCAACAACAACAACAACCACAACAGCAGCATCAACAACATCAGCATTCACATCAACAACACCAACACCAGCAACAGCACCAACAGCAACAGCAATATCAACATTCCGCGCACACGCTTCCAATGCGCTCCACAGCCAATGTTGGCTCACATGTCCATCATCAAATAAGCCATAATTTGCCACCCTTCATACCGATCGCACAGAAGCATACAATAAGTGCCAGTCATGGTAGCAGTTTCAGCAATACGGTCGCACCTTTCGGCTATAACAGTACAAATTTGGAGCAACGCAGTGGAAGTCATGCATATTTGGGTGGTCTACAAACTCACCCCGGTAGTGGAGCTGTTGGCATCGGCAACAGCAACAATGGTGGTCAGAAACAGCCACGCGATATTGAGGATTTAATACATTTGCCAGGTCCACTGACTGAAGATGCGGTAATGCGTACACTGCAGGCACGTTTCAAGGACAATTGTTACTTTGTAAGTGATTAATAATTGATTTTTTTATTTTTTTAATATTTTTTTTTTTTCAAAATGTTTCTATTAAACTCAACTCATTCTCGCCCACAGACAAACGTTGGTCCCATATTACTCTCAATCAATCCCTATCGGGATGTTGGAAATCCACTTACGCTCACCTCAACGCGTTCATTGCCCTTGGCTCCGCAACTTAATAAAATCGTACAGGAGGCAGTGCGCCAGCAAACGGAGACTGGCTATCCGCAAGCCATTATACTCTCTGGCACTTCGGGCGCTGGTAAGACGCACTGTTCGATGCTTTTACTACGTCAGCTTTTTGCTGTCGCCGGTGGCGGTCCAGAAACTGATGCATTCAAGCATTTGGCTGCCGCTTTCACAGTGCTACGCTCTTTGGGTTCCGCTAAAACTACTACCAATTCAGAATCGAGTCGTATTGGTCAGTTTATTGAAGTGCAGGTCACCGATGGTGCACTTTATCGCACAAAAATTCATTGTTACTTTTTGGATCAGACACGTGTCATACGTCCACTGCCGAAGGAGAAGAATTATCATATATTTTATCAAATGCTAGCTGGTCTGAGTCGGGAAGAACGTATCAAATTGAATTTGGAGGGTTATTCGCCAGCGAATTTGCGTTATCTACAGAGTGGTGATGTTGTGCAAAATGAACAGGAGGACGCGACTCGCTTTCAAGCATGGAAGACGTGTTTGGGCATATTGGGCATACCGTTTTTGGATGTAGTGCGTGTTTTGGCGGCTGTATTGCTATTGGGCAATGTGCAATTCATTGATGGGCAGGTGAGTGCAAGTGTAATTTGTAAGTTTTCTATAGTGAAATGCAGTTTCTTGGGAAACCTAGGGTCCGAGTAAGAAACTAAACACAGCAAATATATTTTTTATAAACAATTAAGCTTTGTTGTCGATATATTGGATTACATTTAATTATAGATATGTTTATCGAAATTTGAAAAATAGTTTAAACATTTCAAGATAGCTATCAGATTTGTCAGATGAGTTTCTTAAAATACTATATATTCCACTAATTTATACATACGAGTATATATTATACATGTAATTGGCGCATTGTAACCGCTGCGCTCTTCCTTTAATTTGTGGCTTTGCGTCTTGATGTTTTTCCAACGCTTTGCTTTTACAAAATAAAGGGCTTTCTCGTTAAGTAGGATTAATGAATGACAGGTTACTCTTCGTCCAGTAGAGAAAATTGCTTGAACTCGACTCAGGGTATCCCTTTTTATTTAAAACTTATATTTAATATAAGTTAAGTTATATTTAATATTTCATTATATTTTAAGCTAATCTTAGTGCCTCTATTTTTTACTTTTTTTGTTTTTATTTTTATTTTTATTTTTATTTTTCATAAAACTTTATTGGCGCTGTTGTATTAGTTATAAAATAAGTGGCAATTGTGTATACCGTGAATCACCCTGTATTTTAATATTATTATGACTTTTAGCGCGGACACTGTAAAAGGTTTGAGTCTTTGCTACATGAAAAAGTCTATACGAACAAAACAGCAATTTGCCGATTACCGACAGCAATCGCTCGTGGTACAGTGAGCAAGACTGTGACTTTTATACTGTTGCTTCCCTGGGTTCAAATCCCAGCGTAAGCAACTTTCTCGTTATGATGTTTTATTTGGGTAATTTACGCCTGAATACAATTTTAAATCGTGTATGTTGCGAATTTTCATGACTGAACGGGAAAATTTTTTTTAAGTTAACATAAAATAATTAATTTTTCAATAGTTACTTCAATTAAATTAAATTTTTCTTCATTTGTGTTATATCAATTTGTTTCGTTTTATAATTTAGTTTTTTTTCCATTTCATTTTAATTAACATTAATTGAATTTTTTTATTGTAGTTAATTTCAGTTTTTGTAATATTGTACTTCCTATTATTTTTATTTAATTTGAATTTCTTTTATTTTATTTGATTTTATTATATTTTATTTATCCTATATTATATATTTTATTTTATCTTGAGTTGTTTTTTTTTATTTTAATTTATTTTTTCATTTCATTTAGTCTTATTTCATTTACTTTATTTTACTTTATTTTGTTTTATTATACTTTAATTTATTTATTCTGTACAAAATATTTTATTTAATTACTTTATTGCAATTAATTTAAAATATTTTTATTTAATTAAAAATTTTGTATTTTATTTATTTTATTTTACCTTAATTTATATTGTTTTATTTTGTCTGACTTTAATTTTTAATATTCTTTTATTTTATATAATTTTTTTTAATTTAAAAAATTTTTATATATCATTTTGTCGTTTTTTTAAATATTTTTGTGTCATTGCATTTAATTTAATTTTTCCATTTTGTTTTACTGTAATTTTTAATTTCTATTTATATTATTTTATTTTAAAAAAATTAATTCATTTCATCTTTTTTCATAATATATTATTTAAAAATTTTCCATTTTATTCTCTTAATTAAATTATGATTTTTTATTTACATTATTTCATTTTGTTATGATTTATTTTACTCACTCATTTTTTTTATTTTAATTTATTTCGTTTAATTTTTCTTTATTTATTTTTTATTTTTTACTTTATTTTCATTTATTTTATTTTGGTTCTTTTTATTTTAACAAATAAATTTTATTTTATTTTAAATAAATTTATTTTAAATCTCTCTATTTTTAATTTAATTTTTATTTATATTATTTTATTTTGTTTTTTGTATTGTTTTCTTCTATTAGATTTTGTTTATAATTTTTTTTCAATTTTATTTTACTTAATCAATTTTATTTATTTTTTTTTACTTTTCAAGCTTGTTATATTTTATTTATTTAATAATATTTTTTATTTTATTTTGAATTATTTTTTTATGACACTTTATTCGTTGTTTTTTTATTGCTTTATTTTTTATTTAGTTCTGATTTTATTTTGTATTGTTTTATTTTTTATATATTTTTATTGCCTTTTATTTCATGTTCTCTTTATTAATTTTAAATTGGGTTCTTTATTTAAGCTTTTATTTTTTTATTTCTTTTAATGTTTTTATTTAGGTTTATTTTAGTTTGTTTTAATTTAAAACATATTTTAAATTTTATTTAATGCATTTTTAATTAATTATTAAATTTTTTATTTATTATTCTAAGATTTAATTTTTATTTTCATAGTTGTTTTATTTTATTTTTAATTTTTTTTTGCGTTAACATCTATTTTCTTTCCCCTACATCGCCTTTAATTAAAAGAGTTTACGTTTTCTTTCTAGGGCCTCGAAGTGGATGTCAAAGGTGAAGCTGAGTTGAATTCTGTTGCAAGTCTCTTGGGTGTACCGCCAGCCGCATTATTCCGTGGCCTCACCACTCGCACGCACAACGCACGTGGTCAATTAGTAAAATCGGTCTGCGACGCTAATATGTCCAATATGACACGTGATTGTCTGGCAAAAGCTCTGTACTGTCGTACCGTTGCCACTATTGTACGTCGCGCCAACAGTCTTAAACGCTTGGGCTCCACTTTGGGCACATTGAGCTCGGATTCGAATGAGTCTGTGCACAATCAGGCGGATGTAGCATCGCAGCATGCCTCTACCATCGGCGGCAACTCTGGCTCAAAATCGATGGCTGCTTTAAATAATGCTGTGCGTCATGCTACCGATGGATTTATTGGTATTTTGGATATGTTCGGCTTCGAGGAACCATCACACGCACAGTTAGAGCATCTCTGTATTAATTTGTGCGCTGAGACAATGCAACATTTCTACAATACGCACATCTTCAAGTCTTCTGTGGAGTCTTGTCGTGATGAGGGTATCGTTTGCGATGCCGAGGTGGACTATGTCGATAATGTGCCCTGTATCGATCTGATCTCCTCGCTGCGTACTGGACTTTTGAGCATGTTAGATGCTGAATGTTCTATACGCGGCACCGCTGAAAGTTATGTGGCTAAAGTTAAGGTGCAACACCGCAATTCATCACGTTTAGAGACCAAACACTCAAGCGACCCCTATGATCCACGCATGTTTATGATACGACATTTTGCGGGACGTGTTGAGTATGACACCACTGATTTTTTAGATACAAACCGCGATGTGGTGCGCGATGATTTAGTTGCTGTTTTCTATAAGCATACCTGTAATTTTGGTTTCGCAACGCATCTCTTCGGTTCGGAGCTGAAAGCTTTGTACGCTTTGCAAAATGTGCCACGAGGCCTCAGTTTCCGTATTTCACCTACATCACATACGGATCTACTGAATGGCGATGAGCCGGTTTCGACGCTCACACAAGACTTCCATACACGGCTGGACAATCTACTACGCACATTGGTTCATGCACGTCCACACTTTGTACGTTGCATACGCAGTAATGCCAATGAGACCGCCGGTTGTTTTGAACGTAAGATGGTCGTTCGTCAGATACGTTCACTGCAGGTGCTCGAAACGGTCAACTTAATGGCATCTGGTTTTCCGCATCGCATGCGTTTCAAGCAGTTCAATGCACGTTACGTCGCTATGTTGGCACCGTTCCGCATGCATCGGCGCAGCGAGGATAAAGCGATGGAAGACTGCAATCTCATATTAGAATTTGCAATGGAGAATCCACCAGTATTGGACGGCTCTGTCACGCTTGCTTGGGCGCCAGGTAAGCGCCATGTATTCCTCAGCGAAGGTATGCGCCAGCACTTGGAACATCTGCGTGCGGAGATACGCACAAAGAGCGCCACATTAATACAGGCCACCTGGCGTGGCTGGCAATGGCGCAAGAAGATGGGCAGTGTGAAGCGTACGCGTGGCGTTGGCAATGGCGTCATATCTATGCTGCCAGCTGCTGCAAGTGCAACAAAATTAACGAAATTGTTGCCCAACAGCGGCGCAAATTCACGTAAGTGGAGTTGTTTGTAGTAGTGTTTTGCCTGTGGGTCATGCAGTTGTGCGTGTGATGGACTCAGTGTGGCAAATGCAATAATCAAATTGAAATTAACTTCTTTTTTTACTTTGTTTCTCTCTTTTCGTTTGCGTTTCCTTTCACATTCGTCATCGTGCACAGTGCCGCGCTTATCTGCTAAATCGTCGAATCTTATGGGCACCGTTACGCGTCCACGACCGCAACCAATTGCCGGCACACCACCGCCAGATCCAAATGAGAAATGCGACACAAAAATAATCCAGCAAACATGTAGTCTCTTCGGATTAGATTTGGTGAGTACTCATTCTCGTATCCATTAGGCTAAGGCACGGGCTCTGTCCTTTCATTTCCCACTGCAAACTACTTGTTTTCGATTTCCATTTTCTACCTTAACACCTGCATGCTTAACTCACACATACATACGCGCATTGCGTAAAAGAATTAAAAAAGAAAAGTTCTGATATTTGAGAAATATGACGATACTAAAGAATAATCCATTTTCACTTGTTGTATGAAGCAGTGCTAACATCTTAGCGTCTAGAAGCCCGTGACAACGGTATACAGCCCTCTGATTGTTAAGGACCTGGCAGAACAGAATTTATGACTGAAAGAGAAAAAGTCCCTCATGCGCAAGCCATCTATTCAAGGCAGGTACAAGAACAGGGTTCCTCTGTGACGACCCCATTAATAAAGGTAGCTTCAAGCTTAGCCTTCTAAACAGAGATTAAAGAAGGTACAAAAAGGGCAACTATTGTCATGGGAAAATCTATGAGGTTTCTGTTAGACAGCTAAACGGTAGTTGCGGCAACTAAGTATGTTAAAAGATGGACAATCTGTCTCGTGCTGATGCCGCTAGTATCACCATCAATTACCTCAGATCCTTCAGCGCCTTCAAATGTTGTCTAAATCAGTGGACCAAAGAAGAAGACTTATCCTGGTCCTAGAACTTAAGACGAACAACCAAATTACTGTGTAACAGCGTAGATTGTATTAAGCGGAAGAGAAGAAGTGTTCTTATGGGCGCATCAAGAGAGCATCTACACCTGTACAGAGCGTGCATAGAAGAGGACGAAACGTTGGAACTATAATTTTTATAAATGTACGGCCTTAAACCGTTGGAGATGTGTCATCTTTCACGATGCTACCAACTCCAGTCTAAGGGAGGTAGGCACGCATGGTCAGAGAAATTGAGTTGGGATACGGGGTAGAGGACAACGAGCCTACTCAATGATATGCTAGAATTTCCGTCTTGCGTGAACATCAAACTCTTCAAAAAGTTCTCGTTAAAGGAAGTTCATTAAAAGGAAGCTCTTCTGATTCGAAGTTTATTCAAAAGATCCGCTATGAATTCAGAAGGACATATTGTGTTGCTTGATGAATCTTTCGCATTTATATATATTCTAGTATATGTGACCTAATAAAAAGTCCGATTTAAGTCAGATCTTAAGAGTTCATTATCCCCCTCTCATAGAAGTCTGCGTCCCTATTGGCAAAAAACTTAGAGAGCCAATTTTCACAGGCCTCTCTTGAGGCCAAATTCTCACCATTAAGCGCGTTAGCCATGAACAGGAAAAGATGGTAATCACTTGGTGCCAGGTCCAAACTTCTAAAGTGGGTGCATTAGGACCTCCCATCCGAGCTCCTGGAGGTTCTGGCGCGACACCAAAGAGATGTGTGGCCTGGCGTTGTCCTGATGGAACACAATTCGACCTCTGTTGCTCAAAGATGGCCTTTTCTGGATGAGTGCTGACTTCAATCCGTCCAGTTGTTGGCAGTAGAAGGCCGAACTGAGCATAGGAGAGCAGTCCGTAGTAGTCGTTTACAGTATCTGACCCTTTAACTAAATTAACTTTTCAGCCCTTCGGCTGCATTTTCGCCTTGATCGAAGAAAAATTGTAATTGAATTTTCTCATTGCTAGTGTCCATCTTTGACCCTGATCTTTCCGATAAAGTGAATGGGATCCTCTTCCTCTGCCATCGCCGGTGGCTACTGCGTCGACAAACTCAAAGCTGGAGAGTTGTGATCTATAAGTACGACATGACCTAGTCGTGCTCATTCACTGCCATTCCTTCTTAAACTAAATATACTCTGCACGTCAGTCACCTGATTACCTTTCTCATTCTTATTGGAAAAGCACCGGTCCTGAAACCTTCTGAAAGACGCCTACATTTTTCGTAGAATCTCGATCACTTCCATTGTTGGCCATCTTCTTAGGCTATTCACACTCATTCATTTTAGGCTCTTGCAGTTTGTGGCTGCAAATGTGTCTTGCTTCCCTCTTCAACTTCTATTTTTCTCTCCTCATCGTACTAGCTCTTGTTTTACCCTATCGAATACCAATAGCTTCGTTTGCAGCTGTACGTAAGGAGCTAGAAATTCGTTTCGTGGATGAGTGTTCTCAGATAGAAATAGTGCAATTCGATTGGAGAACTGCTTGTCTTCGGATTTGCTCGTCAATACTGGGTCCGCGGAGATTTCGCACTTTTGAAGCTCTGGTGAAGTCGACCTGCCACAGCCCAAAAAAAATGTATCATAGTTTAGGCTGAATTTCCCGACTCTTGTACCAATGGCACTCTATTTGCCTACCCTGGCGTTGAGAACGCCAAACATTATTTTCAAAACGGTTGCATTCTAGGCGTAAAAAAAAAGCATTTTTGGTCACATCGTCCTTCTTTTCCCTGGGAGCAGATCAACATTAAAATGAAGAACTGCGTTTTGATGTAGATTGTGACGAAGACATGAATGCCAGAATTTGACGACTGAGTCCCTGTTCCATTACAAACCAAACACAAATTTTGCATACCTTTATAAGGCCACAGTAATAAAAGTCACAAGGACCTATATTTTTCCATCTTAGTCCCGTTCATCGCGTTTCCGGTATAGCGGTGATTCCATCCTAAATTTTGATGAGGACATTATTTTCGGTTTAGAAGCATCGGACGATCCAGAGATGTATACCCATAAATTGTTGCTCTTAATAAAGCGTTTTCTGCAGTCGTAATCAGTGGTGTCTTTCATAAGATGCTGCTTGTTTTTGTTGTTGTTGCAACCGCAAAAATATTCCACAAAGTACTTTTTGGGGAATGTTTCGGGAGTGGCAGTCCTTGGCCGGATAAAAATCCGAGTCGTTCTGGTATAAAGACCCGACTGTCGCGGAAACTTTTTGAAGTTTAGTCGCCTCTTACGACAGGCTGTTTTACCGCGCTTAAATTCTTGAACCCCTACCCGCAAGGGGTCTGCTTGTTTTGTCATTACGAGTTGATTTCTACACAGTGACTTTTAAATCTAGCGCACAACTTCGCTACGTGAGTAGTTTTAAGCGCAATGTAGTATGTCGGTGTGGCTTCACTGAAGCTTCATTTCATTAGCCGGGGCCAAGGCTCTCAATGGGTTACTTACCGCATTTTCGAGAAATGTTGCTTAACTTGGAACGTGGAAGCTTTTCCTTGGATACTTTCAAAACTAGAGCTTTTCCATACAATCGGACAACAGGACATAGCCTAAGTCATCCTATTTCTGGTAGAGCTCTCGGTTTTGCTAAGATTTCTTTTTCGTGCATTGGGCAGAGCGCACGTAGGTACTAATCATTAGGCATCCGCGCCTCTAAAAATTTTGCTCTTCATCAATTCTTCGCTATTACATATTAATAGCTCTGCCGATAAACCATCAGCTTCCGGCGCTAAATTGTTATTCAGGCGATTCATTGCTATTGGGACTTTGTCGGGCTACTCCATTGGCATCGATTGCCAGTTTCTTTTTCTGGCTGCAAAAACGTCTCACTTCTCTTTTCAAATCGACGGTATGCCACCAACACAGCGCGGTTCGCAAACTTTTGCTTATTGCTGCGGTACGAAAGACCTCAACTTACCAACTTTTCTTTCGATCTTATTGAGATCCAATACTTCGCAATTGTATGACTTATATGTGATTGGCGCTTTGTAACCGCTGAAGCGATTTTCGGCCGAGTACCCTCGCCAATATGTGAATTTGCAAGTGGGGGGACCTATAGTTTATACTAAGCCGCATCCGAAGGGCGAGGAGCTTTCATTTCATGTCAGAAATACAGTCGGAGGGGTTAACATTCTCTGCTGAGGGGCGACCGCAATTAGAAAATTTAGCTTAAATTTTTATTTAAATGAATTTTCTATAACTTTTGAACTTAAACTTCCCGAATGGCACTGCGCAATGCTAGCCACTTGGCTACCGTGGCCGAGGCCGTCAGATGACTTAGTTCTACCTACTTTGTTCTTACGATATTTTAAATTTACGATAAAAAAGTTTCAATAAGTTATATAAAAATATTTGTATTTTTCTTTGTATTTTACAACTATTCATTTTAATTATTTTCTTCACTTTCTCTACATTTTGACTTCCATTCAATGCGTTTCTTTGACTCTACGTCAAACGTTAACTTACTAAAACCATATTTAATTTTGTTCTTTTAAGATCGAAATCCTGATTTTTATTGCTTTCATGACGCACACTAACCACTACATACATACATTAAACTCTTAACTAATCCGCTAATCGCCTGTCCATACGCCTAACCGCTATTATTCACTTTCTTTAGCACAGCTTACTCTTCCTGTGCCATCGCTCCTTCCTTTAACCACTCACTTGTGATTCCCATTATGATTCGCAATAAATTTGTTTTCCTCGCTATTGGACATACTTCATCATTCATTGTTTGTCAACTGCCTTTCAATTGAATTCTTTTCTTATCTCTTTGCTGTTGCTGCGCCTTTGTACGATGCTGTCATACCATGTACTCCAACTATAATGCCAATAATGCTGACGCTGATGCTGTCGTTGCTGATGACGTCGATGCCCACCAATATCCAATGCCCAACGCAAATGCCAACAACAAAAATAACCATGCCACTCTACAATTGTTCGTTCTTTGGTCTTAATAGGAACGTCCACCGCCCGTACCACCGTCTCGTGGCTACACCATAACTGACAGTTTGAAGCTAAGTTATCCGCAGAGTCGCATCATGAAAATGAATTTCCCTGAAGATCCACCCATCGTAAATCCGGCCGAACAATTGCAACAACAGTTGAAGAAGGGCGAAGCCGTGAGCGTTGTGGGAGCTTCATCGTGTCGCGGACATTTGATTGTCGAGCACAAAGGTCAGAGTTACCACGTACCGTTTCAGTATATGGAGTTGTTACGTCCGACGGCTGTTGCCGCTGGCATCGTTGGCGGTGTGACAAATAATCCAAATAATGCTACAAATGTTAAAAACAACAACAACATGGCTAATAAAAATAGTAGCAGTACAAGCAATTTGGCTAACAATTGCAATAACAATAATGCTAATGTTGGTGTGAACAACGCCAACAACAACGGTGGTGCTAATAACAACAACAATACGGCCAACACCTCGGCAGCTGTCAAGATTTGAGGGGAGTTGATTGCGTAGCGCGGTAAAAGTGCTGTTTATGGAATGCGCGCAAAAACAAAACTGACGAGAGTGACAGGTAAAGCGGCGCAGCTGTGACCACAAAACAAATCACAACGGCTTCCGTGGCTTAGGAGCTTCGCGAATTGCGCGGCAATGCATATCCGTGGGAGAGCCATCGACAGCATTATGTATTTCATGTTTATTTTTTTATTTTCACAAAGACTGTAAATATATTTTTAACTCTAGGTGCAAACAAGCATACATACTTGCAAATACATATACGTAGTATACAATAGTATAACAGTAAAATGAATTAAGTTAAATTAAAGTAAAGTAAGCAAAATAAAACAAAACGAAATTACGTCAAATAAAATAAAATAAAAAAAAATAAAATAAAACCAAGTAAAATAAAATGAAATAAAATAAACTAAAATAAAATAAAATTAATCTAAATAAAATTTAATTTAATAAAAAAAAATTGAAATGTAAAATAGAATATAATAAAATAAAAGAAAATAAAAGAGAATAAAACGAGAAAAAAATACAAAAATAAAATAAAATTAAATAAAATAAGTGAAAATAAATTAAAATGAAATAAAGTAAAATAAAAAATAATTAAATAAATTGAAAGAAAATAGAATATGATAAAGTAACATATAATAAAATAAAACAAAATAAAATAATTTAAACTAAAATAACAGAAAAAAATAAAATTAAATTAATTTAATAAAAATAAATATTTATATTAAATTAATTTAAATTATAATAAATAAAAAAATAAAATAAGATAAAATAAACTAAAATAAAATAAAGTAAAACAAATTAATATAAATAAATAAAGTAAAGTAAAATAAATTAATAAATTAAAGAAAATAAAGTAAGAAATAAAAATAAAATTTCATAAAATAAAACTAAATAAAATAAAATTAAATAATAAAATAAAATGAAAAAAAAAATAAATTAAAATAAAATCACATAAAATAAATAAACAAAATAAAATATAATTTAAATAAATAATTAAATAATTGAAATGAAATAAAATAAAACGAAGTAAAATGTTGTGAAATAATAAGCAATTCATTAAAATAAAATGTAATACACATAATAAATGAAAAAAGAGAATAAAACGGAATGAAATACAAATAAAAAAAATTAAAAAAAAAAAATGAAATAACATAAAATAAAATTAAATAAAATAGAAAAAAAAATAAAATAAGTAGAAATTAATTAAAATAAAATAAATTATAATAAAATAGAAAATAAATTAAATTGAAAGAAAATAAAATATAATAAAGTAATGTATAACAAAATAAAATAAAATAAAAAATTAAGTATTCATATTAAATTAATTAAATTTAAAATAAATAAAAAAAATAAAATAAGTTATAATAAACTAAAATAAAATAAAGTAAAACAAATTAATATAAAATAAAATTAAAAAATAAAGTAAAGTAAAATAAATTAAAAAAATAAAGAAAATAAAGTAAAAGATAAAAATAAAATTACATAAAATAAAATAAAATAAAAAAATAAAATAAAATAAAATAAAATAAAAGAAAATGACATAAAATAAATAAAATAAAATGAAATTTAATTTAATTAAATAATTGAAATTAAATAAAATTAACTAAAATGTTTTGAAATAATAAGCAATTCATTCAAATAAAATGTAATATATATAATAAATTAAAAGAAGAGAATAAAACGAAATGAAATATAAATTGAAAAATTAAATAAAATAAGTAAAAATAAATTAATATAAAAAATGTAAAATAGATTGAAATGAACTAATGTAAAGTAAAGTGAAATAAATTAAAAAATACAAATAAAGTACAAATTAATAAAATAAAATGAAATAAAATACAAAAGAAAATTAATTAAAATATATATAAAATAAATTAAAATAAAATAGTACTACAACGTAAAAAAAAGTAAGTTGCACCAACAATTGTTTTTCCTAAGCAATTTATATTTTCCGAACAAAATAGTATTTATAAAGTATTTTAATGTTTCTCACATACACGCTAATATTAGTGTATACATACACGTATTGTAGCAAGCTGAAATGCGCTAGAAAATAGTTTTTAAATGCATACTATCTTTAATGTGCCAATCTACTCGCTAAGAAGACATCCCATTTAAATAAATAAAGCCCTGTACACAACAACAATCTCTTAATCATTTAGTTGAACTTTCATTGAAATGTGTTTGAATGTTTGTACCACATACATATTTTCATTTAGTAGTAATATGAGTTGTAAAAAATCATTTATATCATAAAATAGCTGTACCCGGTTGCATTTAAATCATAAAAAGAAGTATTTTTTTTCATTTTGCATTATACCTTCGATTTTTTAGGTTATGCAGAAAGGACTTTGTTTATCGATTCATAAAATAAAAAGAGTTTTTTAAAACTGCATTATCCGAAACATGGTCATTATATAAACATTTTAAACAATAATTATACGTATACTTATGTAGTAATATTAACAAACATATATACATACTTCCATATAGAAATCATTAAAAAATAAATACATATATATAGTTATATAAATAGGTATGTACATATATTGGCATAATACATACTCGCCAGTTATTGCACATTTGTGTTGCATAATATGCTCGTACAAACGTAATGAAATTCATACATACGTACTCGTATATAATTCCGTACAAATACAACGTGTATTGTCAGCTTACATGACAAGCAATAAATGTTCAAAAGTGCAACTTTTGCATTAAAAAATGCAAACAATTTTATACAAATCGTCGATATTAATTGCAATAAACATAATTTTAATTAAAGAAAAGCATAAATTTGTATTATTTAAATACGATAATATTTCACCGCGGGTCAAGTATTTATTTGTACTCGTACATACTATAGTAAATTGTTTACATGAGGAGTGGCAGTCGGGCTGTTTTGTTTTTATTTTTTTAAACTATTTTTTTATACGGTTTATTTTATAATATTTAATTTTTAACTTGCTTCATTAAATTTAATAAACATTTCACAAATTAAACTTTATTTTATTTAATTTTTTTATTTAATTTAAATTTTTTTACTTATTTTTTTTTTAAATTATTTTAATTTAATTTAGTTTTATTCGATGTATTTTATATTATTGAGTTTTTAGCTCGCTTCATCTAATTTAATTTAATTAAATTTAAAACATATCACAATTTAAATTTTATTTTGTTTAATTTTGATTTTAATTTTTTTATTTAATTTAAATTTTTTTAATTTCTTTATTTAATTCAGTTCTCTTTCACTGTTTTATTTGATAATGCATTATATATTGTATATATATTATTTTACTTTATATCATTTGTATATTTCATATTATTTACTCTAATATAACATACCCTTTTCATTTTAGTTTTTATTTGACTTTATTTCAATTTTTTACATAAAGTAAAATATAATTTAATATAAGTATATAATAAATTATTGTTCTTTCACCGATTTTATTCATTATGTTTTTTTATAATTTTCTATTTAAATTCGGTATTTTTTTAATTTATTTAAAATTTATTATTATTGGTTTTTATTATTTGCGCTTTTTTAATTCTTTTTTTTTTAATTTTTTTTTATCTCTTTTATTTTTTTTTATTTTTTTTTTGTCTATACATATATAGGATTTTCCAATAAGGAAGATATTATTTGTTTAAGAAAACATACACACACACTAATTGTTAAAGAAATTTAATATTTCTAATTTTATTTGAAGTAAAATCGATAGAATTAAGTTCTGAATATAACATTATTAAAATGCAAAAGAAGTCGTTTGCAGCAACATATTCGATGAACCCAATTTTTGAACGTTTTTCCACTAAACCAAGTAATGAATAGCACCTTCAATATTGACTTTTAAAGCTTGAAGAGAGTCTGGTTGATTGCTAATGACCAATGTCTTCAAATAACCCCACAGGAAGTAGTCTAATGGAGTTGAATCAAAACCGTCTTGTTGGAAGCACACGTTGCTAAGATTTACTTATTCCATTGCTACCATAAAATGTTGGTTATCTTCGACCTATACCGCTCTCCATTGGCGGTAACGGTACTACCAGCTTTATTTCGAAAGATGTGCGGATCGATGATTTCACCAGACCAGAAACTACAACAAACTGTCAATTTAGGTGAATGTAATGAATAATTTGTGGATTTTCTTCGCAGCAGAATCAACAGTTTTGTTTATTTACCGCATTACAGAGATGAAAGTGAGCCTCATCGGGTCTAATTGATGTTTATGCGGACTGCGGGCTTTTATTCTCTTTATCTACATCAAAAACTTGTAAGAATCTATTAGCCCATTTGATTGTGATGATTCAGTCACCCTTTAGTAAAACTTTCGCCCGAGCATATTATAGAAATAAACTGGTATGTGCCCTCGGTTAGTTCTTCGCTGTAATATTAGAATTTGTCGGTAAACAATCGGCTTTTGCCGCTTTTATATTCTTCAAGCGAACGATCATTATTCCAACTTCGTTGTGGTACGGTCGACACGAACGTTCTTCTTCATCGTTTTCGATTAGGCACTCGGACTTACGAACGTTGTATGTTTTCTATTCGCTGCAGCCCAAACAGTTTACTCTCCATTAGCTAAGTGCGCTCTGAATATCAATCACAAGAGCACTTCTTTAATACTTACATGACTGCGCGGCAGGTCTTGTAACCTTTTGAATGTCGCCTTATTGTTTTTAATTATCGAGCAGCTACTCGAGCTCTTAATTTTCACTGTGTTTGCTGATATTATATCAAGCAGGTAAAAGCCGTCGTAGCGAAGGTGCAGGTCAAAGCCCTCAACTAAAACAACCTCGACCCAATTTAATATTTGGGAGGGAAAATCGGAAGCTCATTATCGTGGCGGCAGCTAGCTTCGTCATAATAAGATTTAGCATAATTTCATCTAACCCACACAATTAAAAATAGTGCATTTTCTTTTCAACTACTATATAAAAATTTTACTCCAGAATGCTGATAGTAGAAAGTTTTCAAATGGCAGGATGTGCAAGGCACCTTCTTACTCACACCTACCGCCAGATTATCACACCCACAGACATGTGCAATAATTTGTTAATTACCGTGTATTTCCCAATCACGATTAATGCTAAAAGGATATAGATGTTCAATTAATTTCGCTGATTAATTGCTATAGACCAAACGATAAAAATATGCCAATAAAGCAGGGAAACATACTTACGTGTGGGGGAAGACTACAAGCAGATATACGCTTGGGTTAAACTATATATATACAAGTATGTTTCAGTTAAAGAGAATATTATTTTGTAGCTTTCTTAAATGCAAATCTCAATTCGTTAAATATATACATATAAATATATTATAATTGGTAATATATATATGTATACATACTTGTATACTGCTAGCACTTTGTAATATCTGGAATGCTTTTCAGCATAGCTCCTCCTCAAATTTGTTGTTGTTTGTTTTTTCTACAAGTGGCGGGATCTTAAATTTACGAACGACCGATGATTTTTTTTATTCATATTAAAAGTACACCCAGGGGACTTGCCATCCTTGCCGAAGGGGGACCTCAATTAGAAAATTAAATTTTATAAATTTTTTTTCCAAGGTTTTCGGTTTTGGTCTGGCCATGGTTCGAACCCATGAGCCTTCGCATGATAGTACACACTGCGTGAGACCCTTTTATTGTTGAGCTCGAACTATCTGGTGTTTTTAATGAAAGCACTCTGTCAGACCTTCAAAGTTGCATACCAAGTGTTCTATGTTTATGATAGAGGTAGGCAATCACAGAGAAAATGGATAACAGTTTCTTCATACCTTTTATACCCTTCCCATTTGCAGGTGTAATGTAAGTGTTAGGCTAATTTTTGTAGCTTTTTCTCCTAATGGAAAATGTCCCTTTGTAGTAGCTGTTTTTAGTTTTTGCTTTATCATACTTGATTTATTTCCAGCAGTTTTGAGCTATTTGCTCGAAATGTTAATGCTCGTACGCTGGATTCATACAGAGATGCTCCTCACTTAGCATTTCGTTTGCTTTTTCATTATCGGAATTAATTTTTTGCGACGACAAAGCCAGGAATCGCGCCTGGCTGTATGTGTATATGGTAGCTTTCTGTACGCTACTGTTGTTATTCAATAGGGCTCCACAGACCTCAATACTTAGTATCTCCGCATGAAAGATGCCAGCTGAGTTTAGTGGAGAGAGAGAGAGAGAGATGTCAATATCCTTAGAGTATACCTCCACTCCTACTCGGTGGTCTATTTGGACCCATCGGCCTAGGTTAGGGTAGGAACCTCCGCTCCTACTGAACTTGTACTCCATTCACTCCCAGCAGGTATCCTCATCTGGCAGCAGCTATTGAAATCCTATCTTGGAAGGATATAGTCCGAATTACTTAAAGTTTTTATAAGCTGGTTAAGGATATCCTGTGGCAAATCTATTCTATTTTTATTTTATTTTATTTATATTATTTAATTGTGTTTTGCTTAATTTAGTTCCATTTTTATTTATCTTGTTAATTTAATTTAGTTTAAGAATATCAATTATTATATGTTTATAATTTATTTTATTTTGAGCTATTTTATTTTATAATGTTTAACATTTTGTTTTTTTTTTAATTACATTAAAAAATCTTTATATTAATTTATTTTATTTTATTTTATTTTATTTTATTTTATTTTATTTTATTTTATTTTATTTTATTTTATTTTATTTTATTTTATTTTATTTTATTTTTTTTTAATTAATTTAACTTGAAATTCTTTTATTTCGTTTTGTTTTATTTCATTTCATTTTGTTTTGCTTTATTTTATTATACTTTATTTAGATTCATTTTATTTTATCTTATTAAATAATTTTCTTTAATAAATCTTTTTTCTTTAATTTTTTTTAATTTTATTTAGTTTATTTGAAGGTAACTCGATTTAATTTAATTTTATTTTCTTCGTTTTATTTCACCTAAAGTAATTTAATTTAATATTATTTTAGTTTATTGGATTTTATTTAATTTCATTTTATAAATTAATTAATTGATTAAATTTAGTTTTATTTTATTTTCGTTCAACTGATTTTATTTTACTTTATTTTATTTTACTTGATTTTGTTTTATTTTTTTTTTAATTTATTTTATTTTTTATATTAGTTTGTGTTAGTTTATTTTAATTAATATTAATTTAATTTGCTTTATTCTTTAATTTTAAATTAAGTTAACTTTTTTGATTATTTTATTATAATTTCATTTTATCTCATTTAATTAATTTTCTTTAATAAATTCTATTTGTTTTGGAATTTTTTTACTTAACCTTTTATTTAATTTAACTTTTTTCTACTTCGCTTTATTTACTTAAAATAATTTAATTTATTTTTATTTTAGTTTATTTGATTTTATTTTATTTTACTTTAATAATTAATTTATTAAAATTAATTTTAGTTTAATTGACTTAAGTTTACTTTATTTTATATAACTTAATTTGATTTAATTTAATTTTATTATATTTCATGTCATTTAATTAATTTACTTTAATAAATTTTATTTGATTTAATTACTCTAAAAATTTAATTTAATTTTATTTTAGTTTATTTGATTTTACTTTATTTTTCTTTATTAATTAATTAATTAATTGAAATATATTTTATTTTATTTTACTTCGTTTTATTTACTTAAAATAATTTAATTAATTTTAATTTAGTTTATTTGATTTTATTTTATTTTAACTAATTTTATTTGATTTTAGTTTTTTTATTTTATTTTCTTCACCTTATTTTGTTTAATTCTGTTTTATTTATTTTTATTTCAACTCATCTTTATTAATTTACTTTAATAAACTTGATTTGTTATGAAATCTCTTTTCTTTTATTTGAAATCGGTTGATTTATTTAATTATTTTAATTTAATTTCTTTTTAACTTTATTTTATTTTATTTAAAATAAATTTGTTTGTTTGATTTTATTTTATTTTACTTAGTTTTATTCAATGTAATTTAATTCTTTTTGTGTTTTTTTTTCTAATTTTTTAAATATATAAATTGAAGTCACTGACATTAGATGTGGTGTACGTCTAGATGTTTTTTCCAGCAAATAGGATCTACAGTTTATGCTAAGTCGCCTTCAAACGGTCGATTGATTTTTGTGCGGAGCTTTTCATTTCATGTCAAAAATACACTCGAAGGACTTGGCATTCCCTGCCAAGGTTCGACCAGAATTATAAACCGAAACCTGTTCTTTAGGTGCGCAATGCTAACTGTTCAGCTATTGCAGCCGGCGTTATATTCATAATTTTTTTGCAAATTTTTTTTTTTGTTTTAACTTTTACTAAGCCAGTAGTAGAATTCTCCATTACGTTCCCCACTAAAGCGAGTACCCACGCTAGATATCCTATTGTCAAAGCTTGAAAGCTTAAAATGCAATAATTTCCAACTCATCTTTATATTTACCATTTCACTCAGTACAGTTTATAAAGTTTATTGATTTTCATTTTCTTAACTGTTTCACATAGTATGTTTGTATGTTAGTAAGTATTTCGTCACTCATTTAATATACAAGTAAATAATTACATACATATACATTTAAATTTCGTTTCATTTGCAAGTTTTTATTCAGTTTATTTATTTATACATATGTATATGTAAGTGTGCATGCTAGTATACATATGTGTTATAATACAGTTAAAACAATAATGGAAACTTTTTTCCCAAACAAATTTTCACTTTCTCTTGGGGGCCTCAACGTGTGTGTAGGTGTGTGTGTGTTCTTCTCTTCTCTTTTTTTTTTTGTGTAGGTTTTAATGTTCCATAGTGGCTTCGGTGGTTTTGGTGGTGTTGATGTTGTTGTTGTACTTATGTATGTCTGTTCTGATGTTGCTTAACCTACATACCTACTTAAAGATTTTTGTTTGTCATAAAATTGTTTGTTTTAAATACTGATTAAATATTTTGTATTTATTTTACAAGTGTCCTTTTGCTACTTTTTCTTCGTTTCTAATTTCAATATGATTTTTATGCATTTGAAGCATTTTGTGCTCACTTTCTTAAGAGCTAGAGGAAAAAAATGCCAACATCGGAATTCGTTAAGTACGCGTTTTGTTTAAAAACTTTTGGAGCAACAGTTGAGAATATAAATATGTATATATGTATATGTATATATTATATTTTTCATTTAAATATTGTGTTCAACACGCATAGTTTTCAATTATACACTTTATTTAATATTTCTCTATTTATTTATTCATATATTAGCAATAAATACAATAATTTGGATTTCAATAATTTTCACATTTCCTTCGTCAACTTTGTTATTTAAATAGTTTATGTAAATGTTAATTTGTTACATTGAATTTGTGTGTTTGTGTGGATTTGTAAATAAATACATTTGTTTTGTACTAAATACATTTAGGCTAATGAAAAATAGTCAATATACTTTAGGAGTTAACATTTTTTTTACGCAAAATTTGTTGTTGTCATTTAGGTTATCCATAGGTATGGGTGTTTGTAGTATATTTCGTATGTATGTATGTATTTAATAGTAGTCAACAAATTCTTATAGAGTTCTCTAATAAATCCGGCATAAATTCAGAAATTTTCAAATCAGGAATGTTGTTTTTGGTATTCATTTCAGTACATGTCGATGTGAACGCCTTAAGCCTCTGTTTCCGATCGTCGCCTCCTGCCTGGGCCGCCGGGGAAGTTGGCAGCAGCCAGACCCATGCGATGTTTCGCCTCCTGTGTGCCGGAGTAGCCGCGTGCCAAGCCAAAGTCTACAGTCCGCTTAGAGCTGTGAGTAGAGAAATATTAAAAAAATTTTGTATGTTTGAGGGTTGCGCAAAACATATTATTAAAGGCTTGTAAGTGCTTAATCGTAATATAGAAATACCCAAACGGCAAGGAAAGAAATATGTCCTGGATGTCTTTCTGGACATAAGAAATACTCTGAAAGCAGCTCTCTCCTAGGAATAAGAAGTTTACTGGGTTGCAGTAAGAGTAACTTGGAGTGGATGTTAACTGCTGACCAAAACGGGTGACAACCTTGCTGCCTAGATCCGTTTGTTGTGAGGGTAAACATCCAGCATGTGCATGATCTCCACCAAAACCGGCCTTATCAAAAGCCTTTCGGACAAAACACTATAGAACATTGAGAACTCGTCATTGCCACCGGTGTTGAAGAGATGGACTATGAACTCTCTGAGTAGTCATCGGAAGAATTTCGTGGTGAAACATCTACACACCGTAAAATTAAATAGAGCTTCCACAAAGTAGTGACTACTGTCTGCCTCTGTATAATTTTTACATATCAAAGATAAAGTACGTTGCTTGAAACTTCCAAGACCATTGGCTAGTTGTTAATGATGGATGCCGGCGACTAGAGATACGCAGATAAAAAAGCTACTAGCATACCAGAACCTAACCCTGAGAACCGTAACAGGAAACTCCTGATGTCACCAATGAATCACTTACACAAGAAAACATCAGTGCTCCCAGTTAATATCTAATCAAAAAAAATATCTGCTGGGATTAACTGCTCGGGATCAGCTGTCCTGCCTGCAACGAAATACGGCACGACACTTATTTCCTCTTTGTATGTTCTCTCATCTAACACCTCTTCTCCACTGGTCCGAACTAGTCGCAACAACAGTCCGTTTCCCGGACTTCCCGTGAGATGATTTCGATGGCTTAGTCTAGTCTTGTCTGCTCCTTTGCACTATCACAAAAGCAGTAACATCAAAAACAATAACAACATGTTTACACGTGCTCCGTGAAGGCTACCGTTACAGGCTTATGCATTGCGCACGTAGGAAAGACCGCTATAAGGAAAGCTGCTCAGAGCTCAACCATACTTAATAGGCATGCTACCTGTAATAGGGGCTAAACTAATGTCAAAAATATGACCTGATATAAGTCTATTCCTCCCATATAACAGACCTAATATTTTAGATCGTTTCAATAAAAACAATAAGCCCAGCGAATACCCTTTACCCGCCTAACCGACACGAGAGGCGACATCCGCATAACGCACGCAATATGCCGTGTCATGATTGTTTTTAAGCGTGGAGATTTAAGCCTGTTCAGCTATAGAAAAAATAATTATTCATAAGCTGAAATAGAGTAATTAAGGAATTTTAAAATTTACTTTTTGAGAGAAGCAAGAATGGTTTTTTCGATGCTAAAAAATGAGTCTGAGAGATCAAAGGTTCGGGAATAAAAATTAAAATTCTGAAAAGCCTCATTCAATTTATATTCAATTTCGGGTGCTTAGTCTCAAAAATTGGGCGACTAGTTTGCTCACTTACAGACGGAAACACAGACAGACAGACATACGGTCGGACTCAGCTCATCATTATGATCGTATGGGTATCAGTACTTGTGGGTGTATCTCTGCTCTTTGTGGTTCTAGACGGCGCCTGTATCACATAACTATCTATTTTAAGTTACTCTTTGGTACTAAGGCTTAATTCGTTTATTCGGTTCGTTTGCCTTTTCGATGCCTAAATAACTACCTTTTTGGTATTTTTGAAACGGCCAAAATTTTTTGGTTTAAAAGTTAATTTTTTTTGGGATTTTTTGTGGAACTGTTTCAGACCATCTATATTTTTTTGGAAATAGTGAAAAAATTACAACAATAGTTTTGGACAATAGAAGTTATATCTCCTATTTCGGAAACCACCACGTTTCCTCATCAGACTTCCTTTTCCAGACACCTTTGTTCGAAAAGGATTTGAACTTTGGATGCGCACAGCACGAGCTAATGGTTGTCTCATTAAGCTACATGTGTGCCGCTTTTACTTATTGTTTTTTTTTTCACTTTTCCTTTTACCCAAAATCAAGTGCTCAGATATTCTGTACCTGTAAACTTGGCGCGATGTAGTTGTTTTTGCGAAGAATTTACCCACAAATATTTTAAGGCAACGCCCTTTTTATCATTATTTAATATATTTCAATTTTACCTGTATCCAAAACCTATTAACATTTCTAAAATTATCAGAAAATTCCTTCATGACGACTCTTGGGTGTGCGTCTTTAATAACTTGGTTTCAAATGAAATGTTGCCTACATTTGGGATTAGAAATATTTTTTCCTTACTAAAGGAAGTAAACAATAGATTTGAATGTAATTTCCATGAAAGTATACTCGTACAGGAAATGTCATATCCATTAGCCACTTAAATAATATTCGTCGTTATTAACTACTAGAAAAAATTTAAAACATTTTAAGGAAATCTCTGGCGATTTACTCGTCTTATGTACGTAATTGTCGTATAAAATTTTTGTCAATAGTTTTAGTGAAATTAAGTGATTTTTAATTAGCTGAAAGATATTTGTATGTGTGTGGGCGATTTTTGTGGCCAAAATGTTTGCTAATTTTCAAATTAACTCATCAACTCCTTTAACATTTTCAACGGCATTGTTCGCACTCTTCCGCTTGTAACTTAATAGTGCCTTTTTATTTATTCATGTTTGTTGTAAATATATTTGCACATTCACCCTTTTACGCATCAACAAAAGAAAGTGCTGTGCGCGTCAATTAAGATATCCGTTTAATGCCTGAAACTAAAACTGCTTTAACACCTATACATTTTTAACAATTTATTATTTCTCTAGGCAATCCAAAGCGTTCTCTTCCTACAAGAATTCTTCTCTTAATGCCTCAATTTCATACTCAAATTATTATTAGTTTAAAGTTTACTGCCATGTGATACTCACTTTTCCAGATCGTTGCGTGCCCTCATTATAGTTTGTCCAAAACGGGCCATCAGCTCCATTAATATGTCATCGGGCACCTCTTCCAGCTCATTGTAGTAGCCGCTGTTCTGACTGTATTGTTGGTTTGTGTGCGTTTGATTGAGTGTATGGTCGTATGTGTGCGATTCGTGTGTGGGCCAAAAGGATTTATGTTTACGTCGTTTTGCGTTGTGTTTCGTAGTTAAGTGTATTGGAAAATGAGAAAAATCTTATATTAGTATCTTAAGTCCATATTTATTTATGGCTTTTCAATATTAAATATGTGTATGGTGAGCGTTAAGAGAGAAAGAGGAAAGAAATGAAAGAAAACGCCTACATAATGGGATTTTAATTTTAGTTATTTCCTTAAAATGGTGAAAATAAAGGAAAGTTTTTATGAAAAAGAAGAGTGAAAAAAATATTGAAAAAAAATAAAGAAATATAAAATGAGGGATAATATTTCTTTGCCATCTAAGTAATGCTGCTACTTAGTGCTTTCTGTGAGTTCTCAAAATTTCCTAATCTTCGTAATCGCTTTATCACCAGCTAATCTGTGCTTGTATGATAGCATACAGAGTGGTGATAAAATGACTGATGCCCTGCGTATACTGAATTTATCTAGGGAATACTGCTTGAGCCTGGCGAATGGCAGAATAAAAAAATGCACATCAGGAGATGATGAACCCGATCTCCCAATCGATAACATTGGAACAGAAGCTTCATTGCCTGACTATGAAGAAGTTGGAATGATAAATATTATTATTCTTCTTCACTGACGTAGAAAGTGCTTACGCGATTATAGCCGAATTAACAACATTACAGTTCGGCGCCAATTGGAAGTTCCCAGTACAGCCTCTTCCTTCCATATAAAATTTTCAAAGTTTTGTTATCCATCCGGACCACATGACCTAGCAAGCACAGCCATTGCCTCTCATAGTTCGAATGGCTGTGGTATTCGCCGTTCACAACTCGTAGAAGACCGTAAATCTTGCGCTAAACATTTCGTTCATCGAGAGAAGACTTTACTTTTTAATGATTCGCTCAGTCTTAAGTAGCACCCGTTGGCAAGAATGATTTTGCGCTGTCATTGTTGTTGGTGTTAACAGTGGTTCCAAGATAGGCGTAGTTACGTACGACTTCAAAAGTTATGACTGTCAACAGTGAAGTGCGAGTCGTGTCAAGAATAGCACGACTGTTTGTTTGATGACAGCAGATATTCCGTCTTGCCCTCGTTCACTACCAGACCCATACGCTTCGCTACCTTATCCACTCTGAAGATAGCAGAGCTCACACCGCAGCTTTTGAGACCAATGATGAAAATATCATCGAGGTACACCATGAGCTCAACACTCTTATATCAGCTCTCAGAGATCAGGTGTTCAAGTCGAGTGGAGAACTGTTGTGATTACAATTTTTCCATGTCAAGTCTTCTCTGTGTTTACTGACGGGCGTTGTTTACTGCACAGAGGCGTGTGCGTATCCTTGCTGCCGAGTCAATGTTGCGCCCTCGGAGTGAATGCACGTCAAGAAGACTGAAGCCTTGTCTTCCGAATAGTAATTGTTCGCTTGTAAAACAGCAAAGCAGTGGTAGTCGATGGATTCCCAGTCGAGTTATTCAAATACGGTAGCATAGAACGGGTAAGGTACATGCGTCAGCTTCTTTGCAAAACATGGTTACATCCGCAAAAATCGTTAAGAGGGTGGCCCCACAAACTGCCTCAAACACATAGAGTTAAGCCCCCCAATATCGCGTACTGTATGAAAAACTAACCGCCGTCAAAAAACTAATAGGACCTAATTAGTGTGGCTTTAGACGTGGTGAATTCAGCATTAATTAGATATTCATCTTCAACTTATATGGAAGGTGTAATTTGAGCAACACCACAAGCCACGTTGGGATAGGGAAGGACCTCTTAAAAAATCACTGTTTGGTGCGCTCCATACGCAGTGCAGAACATTGGTTCATATGTCATCAAAACTGTGACTGGCCATAATGTTATAGTCAATTGGGAACATTATAGAGCCATGATTAATGATTTTTCCAAGCTTGAATCTCAATAGGTTTATGCGGACGGCGCTGCATCTCGTATAGCCAACGTAATAATCAATTTATTGAAGGAAATTTTTGGTTAGCGTTTTGTCTTGTATGTAGTTTAGCTGTATAAGCCAGAGCAAATTAGACTAAAATGGAAATTCTCCTTCTTTATTTATTGGCCATCTGTTGGCATATTTCGCCAGCCAAAGTGGGAGCCAAACATTTTACTTACTAACCGCAGCCCACCTCAAGGGCTTATCAGTAATTGCACCAAATGGCAAGACTTAGAAATTGCAAACTTTAGCAAGCCTCCGTAACTCTATGATTATGCAAATTAGTTTCAATTCTAAATTACACATGGGCAGCTACTCTTCCGTCTGTTTTTCGCAGTTTGTCTCGCCCAAACAAATCCCTAACACACCGAGATATTATAGCAGTTACCTAAGTTTTTGGCAGTCGCATTAAGAAATAATTTGACAAAATCATATCTAAATTAATTATAAGTATATATGTATATATGTTTTTTGTATATGTACACGTATAAGTAAACATTTAATAACACTGAAATATCTACAACTACCTGGGAAATGGCGCTGCTTCCGTTGACGTAAGGCAAAACGCCAAGCAAACGGCGACAAACACCAAGGAACAACAGAATACTTTATTTGACATCATAGCGTTTGTTTTTTGTTGTACTTGCTTTGTGTTCGTGGAAGGATTGAAGCTATAAGAAAACAAGAAGAAAATAAAAAATTAATTATGTAAATTTGACTATTAAATAACATTTAAAGTTCATAAAAAGATTGGCCCAGCCTAACTAAGGAAAAATGTGTGCCAAAAATTATTTACTAATTTTGGAAAGGTTTGAACTATTGAGTGCTACATACCTATATGTGTTCATAAATTAGTGATATCAAATTTCCCAACACAGTATAAAATACGCACTTTCCCAGCAGACGAAAAATCACAGTAAAAGTTCAACCAGAATCATTTGTTAAATCTGAAATCATACATAGTAAGGAAGAAGCAAATTTTGTGCGTTATTAACAGCTTTATATCATATTAAACAACGGTGTCGGTTGAGACTAACCCAGCAGCTAAAGAAACCAGGTACAAGATAAGATCAGCGATGCCAGCATCCAACTATCTTACACCACAAGATGTTGAGTAAGAGTGAAAGTATTATTTCCAGCAAAGTCGGACAATAGATTGTTGAAGATTTTAGACCTATAAGTTCCCTTTGAAGATTCCAGAAAGGCTAATGGACTTACATATTACACCTTAACCAGAGCAGATACTATAACGACGGCTCCACATGAAGTGCCGATCAACGAAAACTGCCCTACATGAGCTGATAAATGTAGTTGAAAAATCGTTACGTCACAAACAATACACAACGGCGGCCTTACTCGACATAGATGAAGCATTTTACTTTAAAAATTGTGCTTAAATTTTTGATGCCCCGACACGGAGGCATTTTTTTATGCCACTTGCAGATCACTAAAAAACTCTCCTTTAGGGAACCGTCGCCCACCCTGGAACCGCTTTCGCATTACTTTAGGGTGGCGTTCCATTTTTCTCATATTGAGATTATAACTCGCCGCTTGCGTCCAGGTCCCCCTTTTTCTGCGAACTCCTTTACATTTCCCCAGTTTGCTTCGGAGGCATGAACAACACAGTGTGTAGTTGTATGAAATCAATGCTTATGAACAGAATGCTTTTAGCATCAAAGGACTCGGCGACAGGAACACAACATGTATTCAGAGGGACTCCTTCAGGTAGGAGGGACTTTCCACCTTATATAGTTCGTGGCGTCAACTCAACGGAAGATGTGCGAAAGCAATAAGATATGCAGATAAAGTAGTGTTGATGGTGTCACTGCTGTTTCCTTGCATAATCAGGGAGATTATGAAAAGAGCTGTTTACATCGTACAAGGTGCTAACCCTAGAAAAATTAAACTGATGCTGTGGACTAGTGAAACCAAAATACCTCCATTTCTTCTTCCCCCACTCAGCGGTACAACAACTTCTCTGGTGGCCAATACCAAAGTGAACTGGAAAATAAATATTGTAAACTGAATGACGAAAGCTTACATTGTCTACTCCACTTGCAAGAGAACACTTAGCTGGAACAAGAACTTTAAACTGGATGAAGTCGAGTGGATGCTATGGAACAGTCATCGGACCAATTCTTACATATGTAGCACTGATGCACTCAATGTGGTGCTTCATCAACTGCTAATAGATGTCTTTATTCGGAAAGTACCCGCATCTTCTGCTATAAGAATTAAAGAGTTGGGTGTTAGGATTTAAAAGAGTTATGAACACAGCGATATCCTGAGCCAGGTTATAACAACTTCAAATAAATCATACTACATACTTCCAAGACGGGATTTCAATTATTACTTCCAGGTGAGGAAACTCTTTAGACGTAAATAGAGAAGAGGTTCAGTAGGGGAAAAAGATACTATCAATCAATATTGATGGCCTAATGTATTGCAGAGTAGGGGCGGAGGTATAATCCAAGGACCTAGACATCTTCCTCTTTCTCTCTTTCTTCAAACACGGTTAGCATTTTTCAAGCGGCCATACTAGATATATTGTAGAAAAGGTCTGTGAAAACCTGCTGCATAAATACCGAATGCTACAGAGAGCGATCATATATACAGGCGGCACTTCTGTTTTTGTCGTCGCCAAAGATGAATTACAGTGTAGTCAAGAACTGCAGGAGGGCCTTCAATGCAGAATGGCAGGTCAAGTCCACTCCTAGATAATTTTGATTCCCGGTCACAGGAAGATTGTCGGTAACAAAAAAGTAGTCGAGTTTTCAAGAGCCGTTCAATATGAAACCGAGACGGTATTAATAACATGATGGAATGATGAAGAGAGGGATTTATACACATTTCGAAAGAATAAATCAGGATAGATGCAAATCTATAACCAATTAACGAATCAGATATCACGCAATTATAATAATACAAAGAGATAAGGAGGACTATTAAATAGGTCCAGGAAAAGTGTATAAAGTCTTGCTGCTACTATAACGAGTCTGAAAAACAGTTTTTTGCAGCAGCAATGAACGATATTAAAGAAACTGTTATTACTTTTTTTCTGGTCAGTTACCAGACCTTGAATGTTGGTCAATAAAAAGCATAAAGGATATTTTCAGTTTCATTGAGAGTACCAGATGGCTTGAGCACGACAATGAAACAATGAAACGGGAGCGAAGGAATATAAAAGCCTTACTGGTACTGCATGAAAGTAATGTATCTACCGCTATTTGAGACCAAAAGGCTGCACTCTTACTTTAATTGAAGCCCCTGAAGCGGCCGAGTTCTTTGTCCAGTTCGTGGTATGAATCTTGATGTTTTCCCAACAGATCAAAGGGACCTACAGTTTGTTCTAAGTTGCCTACGAACGGCCGATGGATTTTTATAAGAAGCTTTTTTTGTGTTAGAAATATACCCAGAGGTTTTGATATTTCCTGTCGAGGGGCGATTGCGATTTTGAATGTTGGTCGAACCAGGACTCGAAACCTGGCCTGCACAATGATCGTACGCAGTGCTAACCACCCGACTCTAGCAGCCGCCAATCTCATATTAAATATTTTTTGCACATACATACATATAGACATACAGTTTTTAGATACGCCCTTCCACACCTAGAAAAGTTGTTCGTTCCCTTTGCTCGTTATAATCCAATAATGATAAAGCAATCAAAATAAATTAACCCAGCAGACACATATTAATTTAAAAATGTGAGGTGCGAATGAAATGTCTGCGGGTAACTGCTGTTATGGGCGGAGCGCAATCATGCACGTTTATATGTATATACTTTTATGTAGGTAATAATTTCGAGAAATCAATAAATTGCATATCTAACTAATATACGTATGTTTGTATGTAATACGTGTATGTACAAGTTGGTGTCTGCGGGTATGTTAATGATGATGTTCCCTGTTCAGATTGTTAAAAGAATACTAATTTGGTGAACATGTTTAAAAAAATGTAATGGAGTGTATGCAGTTACAGTCGCAGGACTATGCTCTATTTCTAGTCTTGCGACCGCGTCGCGCAACGTGGAAACGTAAGCAACTCTTGTGTACGGCTAAAGGAGACGAAGCGTCAGTGGAGCGACTCCGACTTATTCGGTTTAAGGGTCCACTGAAGTCTGATTTTAGCGTCTGTCCATCAGAGGGGCGGCTGTGAGCGGTTCTTGGAGCTCCCCTTCTGATGACGACCACGCAAATGTTTAAAGGATCTCGATTTGAGGACATGCAAAGAAAAATAACGAAAATTTAGAATCCGATTCGTGGTGGGAGAGTACTGAGTACTGGCATCAAAGCCAAATTCTTCAACATATCGTTGATGTGCGCCCACGCCCCCACAGAAGAGAAATACAATTTGTCCAAAGATGCCTTTTATGAGCGCCTGGAGAGTACTTATAAGCGCTGCTACTACCACGATGTCAAAATTGTGCTTGGCGATATCAATGTCAGGGTGAGCAAAGAAGGTATCTTTAGTACGACTGTCGGAAAATTCAGCCTCTACGGCGAAAAAACCCCAAATGGATTGTGGCGCCGGGGCCCGAAATGTGATTGTACTAAATTACAGTACAAAAAAGTACACCTAGCTACTTGGCTGCTTCGGGATCGAAAAACTCACAACTAGATAAATCATCTACCTAACGTTCTTGACGTGCGCATATTCCGAGGAACCAAAATCAACTAGGAGTATAATCCTGTAGCTGACAAGATACGCACCCGCCTCTATAGAACGCAAGGAAGGTTCGACGTCGAAAAGTTACAATCACATCAGACAGCCAGACAGTTTTCCACCCGACTTGCACGCCTGCTCTCTGAGAGCACTCATCCGCAACTTCGTGCTCGTTTAAAGGAACTGTGGGAAGGAATTTCACGCCCTCTAAGTACAACTGCAAAGGAAACTATTGGTTTTCAGCAAGGTCGCAAAACAGCTGGTACGATAAAGATTGTGGCACAATTGAAGATATCGACTACTACACGTGCGGGGCTTGATAGATACCAAGAGCTGAACTTCCCAAGATGCATCTGCAGACAAAAAAAGAAAGTGGCCGAGAGGCTCAAATATGAAGAACTTGAGAAGCTGGCTTAGAGGGGTAATGTTCGAAAATTCTACGAAAAGATACGGCGACTAACGAAAGGTTTCGAAGCCAAAGCAAGCTCTTGTAGAATCCAGAGAGGTGATCTAGTGTCTAATACCTTTAGTACACTGAATTTATGGAGAGCATACTTCTCCAGTTTGACAAGATGCTAGCAACAGCTTCATCGCAGAGTATGGTCGTATGAAAGCATGTTCGACAATTTCATTTCAGGGAACTTTGCCGTCTGCGTCAATTACCGTGAGATACTAATACTTTAGTAGTGTGGTTTTAGATTTGATAAATACCATTGACCACATATTAACTATGAGCCAATTCTTGGAAAAGAATCGTGAAAGGATGAGAGTATGATTTTGCAGTTATGATGTTTTTTCGTGTTTTCGGTTTTTGGAATTGTCTCCTGCGAAAAGATACTTGAGTGTTACCTTTCAAGCTGAAATGGAAAGCACAGTCTCATGAAAAACTCTAACAACTTGTACTGCACCATCGTTCAAATTGTTACATCACTATACATATTACACAGAGAAGGGTAAAGTGAAGGTCAACATTACAATTTGTATGTAAGCACATCGTTGACACCCGGACAAACTGCCTGTAACAACGTTTACTACATTTTAATAATATTTCAACATTAAAATGTTAATATGCAGACGATTAATTTTATAAGTAGGAAATGACCTCAGCAGGAGCAAGTGAGTGCCAAGCATGTACTACACTGTGTGATAAAAGTGTTGAAGACACCAGTAGCAATGTAAGTGATGGCACGTGCTTGCAGAGGCAACAATTTCCCAACTGTCATTTTATGCACTCAGGCGCTTGCACACTTAAATTGAATGAGCATGCGC